TATACATCATATAAAAATAGTACTTATATTTTGATATTTGCATTGAACATATATTGAAAAATTGAATATTTTAATTTTGAAATCTCATTATTTTTATAAAATATTATAAATTATTGAAACCACTGAACCTTCCATATTAAAAAAAATTTGTTGGTGTAAAATTTTGTTTCATAAATATGAAAATAATCATAAAATTATATAAGTAGAAACATCATTTAATAAATATCCATATTAAAAATCTACTATATATCTATGTTAATATCATTTAAATTTAATTATATATCATATACGATAGATAAATTTGATTGTTTTGTTTTATTTACCATAAAATGATTGTGAATAAACAAGACCAGTCGTTTGATATATATGCACATGCTAATTTATTACATAATAAAAACACATTTCTTAGTTATCTAATATATAATTAGTGTTTTATTATTTCATAATATGTAGAAAAAAAAGAAAATAAATAATAAATATAAAATATAAAATATTTATTCTGCAAAAAACGCGGATCTTAACCTAATTATATATATATATCTTTAATAATTTTAAATCTTAAATATTTTCTAATCTAAGGCCAAAACAAAAGAACGAAAAGAATGAACTCAAAAATCAATATTTATATCGAGCAATAATCAAAATAAATAAGACACAAAAAAAATTATTGAATATAGTTAGGATTAGCACGTGGACGTAAACTTCTCATAACCATAATTAACTTTTAAATTGCTAAAACATGATATAAAACCGAGCTGGCATAATTGGCATGTGATTCTTTGGCCCAAAGGTTAGGTTTTATGCATTTTTCACCTAAAATATTTTTAAAAATGAGATTAGCTCATCAATAAACAAATTATGTAGTTAACAAAAAATAATTTTTAAAACTAATTAAGGGTCAAATATATGAATTCGATTAAAGATATACTATTTATTTTTTCATACTATATTTCTTAAATAATTTTATATGAATTTTCTTTGTGTAAGACGCATGTCTTATCTTAGTGGACTATTAATTTTGAATACATGTCAGTTTTCTATAAATAAATTTGTTATGAGGACAAAAAAAAGAATAAAGAGAGGGGGCATCAATTTAATATCCTTATAATTTTCACTATTTAAAAAAATCTGAGTGGTGGCAGGCAGCTGCCCCCATATTGGACCATGTAGATCCGCCATAAAGATAAAATGTTCCGATGTGTTGACTCACTATTATCTGGTGTCTCACGGTTATTACAATAAAGTCAATTTTTTTTTGATTAATTTGGGGGTATCCTAGGCCCATTGAGAAGCCCAGACTAATTCCCAAGTGGACTTAGTTTCGCGAAGCAGGTGTATCGAATCTGAAACATGTTAGTGTCTCAGTCTCATCTCTTTACCACTCGACCATAATCACCCGATCAATAAAGTCAAAATATTACAACTATGATTTCGGGTTTTTATGCATATCTTTGATTTTCAACTCGAAGACGTGTGTTTCGTTTTGGCTCAACGCAAATAACTTGTTTGTTACAACCTGTGCATATATGGATTAATCATGTTGTGTCTTAGTTTTAAATTTCAGTAGGAAAAAATGTTTTACGTTGTGTCATTTTTTTTTTTGAATTTTTTTTTATTTTCTATCCCTCAGAATTTGATTATTCGTCAAGGTATAATCAGTCACTACTTTTAACATTTTTATTTATTCATCATCACTGGGATTTTACGTTGTGTCATTGATATTAACAAATACGGATGTCAAAAAGAAAACGATTTCAGGTTTGGAAAACAAAACTAGGGACTAAGGTTTAAATTCTTCCTAACTAGTAAAAGACGTGTCGTCGGCCAAAATACGATAATTTTGTTTTTGTCAACGCCAAAATACGATATTTAATTTATACTAAATTAACCAAATGGCCATCACAAGCTTACTGGTCCATATCTTGTTGATATTAAAGGATTGTCTTCTTTTAATTCGTCAAAATTGATCTTATGTAGACGTTGATGGCCAGAGTTTTGTTTCCTTTTTCAATAATTTACATAAATATTTTAGAAAAAAACAAATAGTAATTTACATAAATATTTCGTAGACTTATATATTAGTGGCTCCGATTAAAGTCAACCTAACAACGACTGAATTACTCCGAATCGCACCATTTCATGCAAATCGTACACGTAATAGAAATAATGTGAAGTATCTTTTTTGACAAACAAAAGAATGTGAAATATTCATTAAACAAATGGCAAAAATCTGATATTTCCGCATGATTATGCATTTTGAATTTATTTTTTAATTGTTTTTCTTTTTGAATTTAATTGATAAGTTGAGTTTTTAAAGCAATCCAAACCCGGAAAAAAAAATCAGTGAATGAGTAAAAATTGGATTCTCGCTAATTTAATATCGAGAACATGAAGTTTATAGGTAATCCGGACTTTGGTGGATCCTTAAGAGGTATTACATTAAGTCGAATTCAGATAGCATATCGGTATGGATAAACTTTTACTAATAATGGAAGATACAAGGTTAATTTATATATCAGTTAGAATGATTGTACGTAGATAGAGAAAGAACGCTATCAGAGTATGGTCCTTCAGTCGCTCGGTTGAAGATTTTTTGCGGAAAATACAATGTCCACCTAAAATGACACATTTTTTTTAGGCACTCTCACGAATTCCATAGGATCTAGACATTTTTCCCACTCAATCACTCTTTGCAAACATGGATTATTTATTATGAAAGGTTTCTCCGGAATTGGAAAATTATCAATTAGCATGGATTTTATAATACATATGGAAATGAAGAAACAACAAAGTATTTAAAAATTTGGATATTGATCATATAGACACCCTCAAACAGAATCATTACTTTGGGCTGAGGCACAAATTTCACTTGCACATGGAATCAATCAAACTCGATTACCACTTGATGCAACATTACCGTCTATCCCAAGTAGATGGTGTTTAACGGATGGATCATGAAAAATCAGGAAACCTATTCAAGACAAGGGTGGTATAGCACACAAGAAGGTTTTGATGGTTTAATGGGAGCGAGGAATACAAAAGCGAGTCAGTCGCCACTTCACTCAAAGATAGAGGCTCTCATTTGGACAATAAAATGTATGGGAAATCTAAGACAATTTACTATTATTTTTGCAACGAGTTGTTCTCAGTTGGTGAAGAAAAACCAGAAGAATAGTCAGCCTTTCCAAGTTATTTGGAAGACATACAGATTTTTAGATAAGTTTTAATAGTTCAGAGCTTGTTCATATATCACAGACATAGAATTCAAGGGAGAATAGTCTCGCACGCAATGCAAAGAAACAACTGTCATTTGTTTATTCATATGAATGTGGAACTACCAATTTGGTTTGTAGAATCTATATGATGAACCTGTTTAAGTGGCTGGTAAAAAAAAGAAAAAGAAAATAAAACTAAGAAACTCATGTTTTAAACACATTCATCATCTTAATAAATCGCCAGTGTACGAATCATATACCAACTTTTTCTCCTAGGCGCAAACGCATCTTAACGACTGCAATAATGCAGCTTAATCCATGTAATTCATAGTAGGCTACAACTAATTAGTGGAACAATGTAGTGTATATATATATATATATATATATTTCTAAGAACATGCAATTTATTGTTTAGTAAGAAAAACAAACAAAAGAATCTTTATTATTGACATGAAATTACGATGTGAACGTCGTCACGTACTCTTCTCATAATAAACAATAGAATAAATCATGAGTGTGTTAAATAATAAGACACATTCTTGTCTTTTTACATTGGAAGACACAACACACATGAGACACACATTTTTCACTCTCTCTCTTGTGATAGTGTCGAAAGTACCCTTAGTTGTGGATAGGAAGAAACTAGCTTGGTTTAGTTGACTGTCTGAATTGGTTAGGTTGACTATTAAAAGTAGTTTTAGTTAAAAGTTTGTCATGGATCATTTTTTTTTTATCAATTCACCCTTCACTTTTTAATTTGATTAATTTTTGAATATAAAAGTAAATAAATAAATAAATTTGACATAATAAAATCTGTTTTTTTCTTTTCTACATTTTAATATTCATTTACATATACTTTAGTAATATAAATATGAAAAACATTCAACAAACACAAAAATGAATTTCTCCATCTCAAGCTCTGCACCAACCACATCTCTTGTGTCCACACCAACTACATCCACATAACTACTATCCACACCGATCACATCCATACAATATCTGTCTACAGCAGCCATACCCGCACCTCGCATATCCCTACAACCACATCCACACATTCCTAGTCCATCAAAACAACAGACATGTTTCATCACCCCCAAACGATAAAAAACATTAAGCTTTGATAAAACACATCAACACATATGTATCCAATCAAACACCACAAGACTAAAGGTTCCATCTTTAAAAACAAAAGTTAACCACATAACTGATAAGAACACTCATCAAACAAACCACAAATCTTAAATCGCAAAACAATCAAACAAACTAAACTCAAATATGTTTTCTTCAATTTCTCAGAACATCAAATTATGAGTGAACAAAACATAGAAAAAAAGAATCTTACCTCAAGAAACAGGGACAATCAACGAACTCAATCGAGCTTCAGGTTGTCTTGAACCCTCAATTCCTTCTTGGTTTCGTCCCCACCTGTCAATCTCCTCTTGATTTGGCCTCAAATTTTGTGTTTAAGGTTTGTGTCATCAAACGAAAATTCCAATAATGATTGATATGGAAATATCAACCTACGACTTCCTCTTTACCCTCCACCTTCACCACCTCCTTCACACCTTCCACCCCACTTCCACCTCGATTGTATCCACCACCACCACCTCACCACAAGTAGCCAGCTCCATAACCTATGTATCCACTCTCACGTCATTCACCTTTGTATCCACCACCACCTCTTCCACAACCACAACTGCGATATCCATGACCACTTAACATGATTTCCACCTTCACCACCTCTTCCATAAAAAAATGTGAATAAAAAGATGTGGACATGGAAATTCAGAGAATCTAAAAAGAAAAAACAGAATCTAAAAGAGCAGAACAACATGGAAATTCAGAGAATCTTAGATGGTTGAATAGTTGATGATTGACCTCAAGGAGAGAAGCATTGAACTGAGCAACTAGAATGTAAGTAGTAGTTTCGGAGATCCCACATCGTTTCAACGATTCTGTAATCTAAAATGGAGGAAAAAAACGAAGAAAACCATTAGTAATCTATTCTTTATTACAATACACCAAAACAGAGATATTCTCAAGATTCAACTAATTTTTCTCCAAACAAACTCACAACAGTTATAGTAGACCAATAGTGTCAGAACTAGACAAGAGTGGTTTCAGAAGCACAAGCAAGGTTTGTCTGATTACATGTTTAGATCCGGAGTAATTGTAGAAAAGCTCAGAATGAAGAGTTCGTGTTGATAACGAATCGTGTGATTTGGAGATAAGGGCTTTTTGAGCTGCAGCTAAGAGAGGGAAAACATCTGGGATCTGATCTCAAACACAATTCGTTAATAAGATCAAGAATCTAAAGTCGTTCTTAAATATTTTAAAAACAAAGGAAAGAACAAGAACTTACCAGTAATGCATTGAAAAATGAGACTTCGAGCTTCAGACTTCCATCTAGACTTGAATTCAAGAGCTCCCTGAACACACAATAAACATAAAGAGATGACTAAAAAACTGAAGCTGAAAAAAGGAGAAAACCAAGAGAGAGAGAGTACTTAGAGTTGGTGACATCGGAGAAGAGAGAAACAGAGAGAGTGTTCACCGTCGAGTTGGAACACCTTCATAACTATGAGTAGTTAGGTGGCGAAAAGGAGGGAGATAATTAGGGTTTTACACCGCCGGAACTCGAGAGACAGACCCGGCTAATCAATTTTTTTTTTTTATCAATTCACGCTACTATTATAGATCTCTAGATCTACAACCCTTGAAAGGAGAAAAGAGCTAAGGTAGATGAAATAAAAACCTCCGACGACAAGCTCCTGTGAAGTTGGTTGACTAAGAAACTTCCTTTTCTTCTTCGACTTTGATTTCACCATGTTTTGTGATTTACAGAGATAAAAGAAATAAGAACCTAAAAGAAATAAGAAGGGTTCAGAAGTATTAGCAGAAGAGGGCAATAAAATGAAAAATTGAAATCAAATAAGTTTTTGAGTTTCTGATTTCTTTATGTTCTTTGATTTGAGGGAGAGGATGCAAGAGAATTGACGCAGTTAAGAAAATGATTTTGTGCATTTTTTTATTTATATGTGTAATTGGATAGTTTGGTTTAGTTAGAGAAAAAATGAAGAACGAGAGGAGTTGTAATTAGGGGTACAAGAGACAATAGACACACAGAAAGTGTGTTACCAGCAAAATGTGTCTCATTGTGTTAATAGAAAGTGAGAATGTGTCTTAGAATGTAAATTTCTCATAAATCATTGATATTTTCCCCCAAAAGTTAGTTTACGTTTTCATAGTCAAATAGTCAATAAAAACATTTGTCTTGAAAGAAATGTAGTGTTGACTTAAGTTTGAAGTAAACTTAGGTTATAAGATATCCTAATGAGTTTAGGATTAGAAATATGAAAGATGTGTTTCCTAATGAGTTTAAGAGTTTATAATTATTATATAAGGAGATACCATGATTTGGTATAATTTAATGAGTTTGAAAACTTGTGTTTAAAAACCTTAAGGTTTTTGAGTGTTTCCTTAGAGAAAGATTAATAAAGTGAGTCGTTGAGATTGAAGGTTTGGTTTTAGGTGTTTTACCATTTCAATAATTGGTATCAGAGCTTTATCGAAATCAAAAGGTATACGAGAAACAAAATCTTCGTTAGCAAATAAAACCATGGGAGAATCAATCGCAACAACTAAGGCAAAGGATAGTGCTCCATTGTCAATACAATGTCCAATTCTCAATACTATAAACTTCAAGGTGTTGTCAAAAAAAAAAAAAAAAAAAAAAAAAAA